AAAAAAAAAAAAAAGAAAATCAAGTTCTTTACTGAAAAAAAAGAATTTTAATATTAGAAAGGAAAAGTAGATCCAATAATCAACAAATGCATATGACTAAAATACAGGACAAAACTGAAATGCACAGTTGAGAATACGTTCCTTTTAATTCATACCTCTGTTCCAGCAAAGGTGAAAGGAAGGGTTTGAAGAATGAGATTGATACAAAGAAATGAAGTAAGGCAACTAATCTAGGTTGCATTATTTTTATATTTTTAGAGACAGGGTCTTCTTATGTTGCCCTGGCTGGTCTTCAACTCCTGAGTTCCAGTGATCCTCCCTACTCAACCTCCTGGGTAGCTGAAACCACAGGCACATGCCACAGCTCCCAGCATAGGCCACATTATTTAATTAAGCCACTCAATAAATAAGTGACTACCATATTAGGCCCATACAGGGAAAATGGTAAGAAAGACAGGTCCCTAGCTCCACTGAGCTCATAAAAACAAATAATTAAACAAGTAATGACATAAAGTGCGGTAAATGCTAAAAGCTTAAGAGAAGCACAGACTGCCATGGAAGTATATTTCAGGGGCACCAAACCCAGTCTATGAAGCAAGGAGAATGGGGTGGGAAAATTCAGGGAAAGCTTCCCAGGGCAGGAAACATTTCAACTGAGGGCTGAAGAATGAATAGTCAGCAATTTCCTAAGCCATACCACCAAACAAGAGCAAAAAGGAACAGGCACTCTATCCATTTTGCTTTTTCTTAGCTTGTTAGTAATGAGAGGTTTACCAGGAAAAGGGTTAAATGCAATGACAATACCAGGCCAGTGTATCGGCTTGCATTTGCTTGCTGATAGTCTGGTGTTCCAACCCTACTGGTGAAGGTGTTGGTAAAATAATTTTATGATTTACCCCATGGGTCAAAATTTGGCCTTCAATAAATTGTGGTAGTAAGGCAAAACCAAAAAAGATAAATTATTGTAGCAATCAGAACACTAATAATTGGGGTCCTTCACAGTTGATAAAGTACTTGCCTCTTTACAACTCACAAAGGAGGCTTGATGATCCCGTTTTAGAGATGAGGAAAGAAAGTAGGGTCAATTGTCCATTGACTTAATTGAGCCTTACAAGGCAAGTCTGCCCCTCTTCCCACTACTAAGCTGATAAACAACTGGCTATACCTCTGATTCTGACTAACTTTGAACAAGTTATTTTGCTTCTTTGTACCTTAAATTCTCAAAATATTTATTCCCGGAAGAATGATGAGACTTTTTAGTAAAAAGTTTTAAGACACAAATGAAAGATGGGTAAACGTAACTCAGTACCTAACACAGACTTCTAACTTAAACCTGCTGAAGCCTAAAAAAAAACCAACAGCTCAACCTGAAAAACGCAACTCTTAAAGAACTAGGAGGTTTCTTTAAAAAAGAACTTCAAAAATCACTTCTTGCCAGGCACAGTGGCTCACAACTGTAATCGTAGCACTTTGAGAGGCTAAGGTAGGAGGATTGCTTGGGCCTAGGAGTTCAAGACCAGCCTGGGCAACACAGCAAGACCCACCCTTTCTACTAAAAAATTTTTTTAAATGATGCGTGCCTGTGGCCCCAGCTACTCAGGAGACTAAAGGGGGAGGAGTCTGAGGCTGCAACGAGCTATGATTGCATCACTGCACTCCAACCTGGGCCACAGAGCAAAACCCTGTCTAGGGGGCAGAAGGGATCACTCCTCATGATAAACTTAATGGCAGAAAAACAACGTAAGATTTTTAAAAATTTTAGCACCCATTTAAAAATGTTTAAAAGACTGACATAAAAATCAACTTTCACCTTTTAAAGAACAAATGTAAAAGCTGACATCATATCTTGATTGAATCTTGTTTTATATTTTTGTCTTGATCTGATAAACCCAAAAGTTTTCTCCTTCCTGTTGTAAGAAAGAATTCACTGAGTTCCCATGCCTATGGTAGGAATTTGGCAGAAATGGGTAAGTATATCCTTCACAGATACGGAAAGTGGATTGTTAGTCTGTCCAGACATCTGAGGAGACTCAGTTCTCATGAACAATCCCAGAAGGCCTGGAAACAGTCACGCTGAAGCCCCGGCTATCTCCAAGATCTGCTTTATAGAGAAAGGTTATCATTATCTGAGCAAGCTGACAATCAGAAACCATTGTGCTTTCAATGTCAAGACACAGAAAACCAGTTCTTGAGTTCACAGATAGATGAGACAACTAGCAAAGTTAAATGAGTGACAAAGTGAGACAAGTAAATTTCCCTGACAAATATAAACTTTGTAATAACCTTTGCAATGTCTGGCTCGGAAGCAATTAAGTTGCAAAATCGGGTCATTGCACTTGGACCATCTAGCATGCCATCATCCATGTTGATATCCAGCACCTGGGCTCCCATTTCCACCTGCACTTTGGCAACACACAAGGCTTCCTGAAGGAAGAAAGAGAGGAAGCAGCATTAGGAAACAATAATTTGAAAAAAGGCTAATAAGCCAATTCCTTACCCGTCCCAGTAATCCTTTCAAATTATACAGACTCACCTAGCCAGGCTCCCTGACTCTGGGCCTGCTGTCCTCCCATCACTCATCACAAATTAACCTTTCTTACACGTCCCTCTTCCATCACATTATCTCACTGCTCAGAATCCACCAAGGCTGTTTTCCTACCATAAAGATTCTAAGTTCCTCAGCCTGGCAGTCAAGGCCCCATCGTCTTACCAAATCAAACTTCCCACTCTACCCCCACTGGAGTCTTCACCCAGCCAAGTCTGTTCCCACCTCTGTGCTGCACATCATGTTGTCCCCTCTGCTTGGAACACAACCCCTTTCCCTTCCACATTGTTTATGACCCAGCCCCATCTCCTCCAAAAAAAGTCCTTAGAGAAGCCATCCAAACGATGTAGCTCTTCAGTATTTGCCAAAAACTATACAATGCTTCGGTATCTGCCAAAATGATTCATTCCAGGCTGTTAATAGGAGTTACATGAAAAGAAATGTGAGTTAAATAAATTTCAGCAGGTTTTTATAATACTGGAAAGCTTTTCAAATTCTTTAATGCGTTATTACACACTGCAACCTTCCCGAAACAGAATTCAGCATTTCCCACTTATGACCATCTAAGGAATACTTTGTAGGATAAGTGTTCCAAAAAGTCTTATGTACCTCCCACTCTGAATGCTGGGCAAAATCTACATGTTCCATAATACTTTCTAACTAACATGGCAAGACTTTTTGTTTGTTTAAGTCTTCACTGTACACTTCATGGTGCAATAAAATAAGCAAGGATAAAATCAATAGTAGATGCTGATGTCTTGATCTTTTTTTTTTTTTTTAGCCCAAGAAAATAAAATAGAAACTTTTAGCACTCATTGTGATAGAACTGCCATGAAATCCTATGGCGTATGTCATAAGGAAACACCATATGTACTGAGCCAAGGCTGCACAGAGAAAAAGGATCACAATTAAATTCAGTAAATCTGGGCCAGACACAGTGGCTCATGCCTATAATCCCAGCACTTTGGGAGGCCGAGACAGGCAGATCACTTGAGGTCAGGAGTTCAAGACCAGCCTGGCCAATATAGCGAAACCCTGTCTCTACTAAAAATACAAAAATTAGTCAGGCACAGGGACATGTGCCTGTAGTCCCAGCTCCTCTGGAGGCTGGGGCAGAAGAATCACTTGAACCTGGAGGTGGAGGTTGCAGGAGCCAAGATTGTGCCACTGCACTCCAGCCTGGGTGAGAGAGTGAGACTCTGTCTCTAAATAAATAAATAAATTTGGTAAATCAAAAAATGTTTTCTAGTATCAGTACTACTTAATATAAAAAATAAAAATAAGTGCAAATCACAATCCTGGTTCTTAAACAATTTATATCTAGTTGGGGGCACATGTCACAGTCCCATAAAAAACTACCAGGCACTGCCATACAATATGTGGGTCAAATGCCAAGATGATCTCAACATCTAGGAAAGGGAAAGGTCTCTACGAACCAAAATGGAGAAAGCTAACTGAGAGGGAAGCATCTTCAGCTGGCTAATGAGGGATGGATTGGAAAAAACAGATAGCAGATAAGACAGTAGGCAACAGAGGTCAAAAGACCTGGAAAATGAAAATGCCAATATCTGATCTATTTCTTAAGAATCATGGAATAACAGCATCAAGGTCTAACCTTCACAAACAAACTCAGAGAGATGAAGTGGTTTGTTTAAAAGACATATGAGTTAGGCAAGAAAACAGGACTGGAACTTCTTTCAGGTCAATGCTCTTTTTATTAAAGCCCAAAGGGATCACTAAGTCATAAAAGCTAGGCTCTAATGAAGAGTCACCTGTTCCCACCTGTTTCTACTGCCCCCTCCTACTGTTTCCACTAGGCAGAGATAGCAGAGTGATTAAGGGCACATGCTTGGTGGACCTGGGTTCTATCATTTACTTGCTGTAAAACAACAGGCAAGTCAATTAACCTCCCCAAGCATCCATTTCTACATCTGTAAAATGGGGATAACAATGGTACTTATCTCTACCAGGCTGTAATGATTAAATAAGTCATGACATAAAGTGCTTAGTACAGTGACTGGCACACAGAAAGATCCTATTAAGCGACAGATATTATTACTTCCACCTATTTGCTTCTTCCTAAAATGCTCTGTCGAATCCAAGAGCTGAAAGGAACACCATAGAATAGGCATAAGAATCAAAACATAATAGAAACATGGGCAACTGAAGAACACTACATGGCTAGGAAGAGTCACTGGCAATTCAGAAGGAAGCAAACATGAACAAAGGCACAGTCAGAAGACAGCCTCTTGGAATGTTCAGATGACAGATCAGGATGGGAGGGCAGTTTAATACCTAAGTGAAGACGACAGAATGATTGACTAAGGAATCTCAGTTTTATCCCATATCCAAAAAAAAGTCACCCTGCGGAACTTCTGAACTGGGGAGGCCCATGATGGATGCATACAAGAGCACTGGAGAGCAGCAAGAACGAGGGGAAGAGGACTGCCATGGGGAGTGGTGGAACCAGGCAACCAGGCCCTGGCGATGTGCCAGCTGAGGGACAGAGAAGGAAGACACACTTCCGGGGATGCCATCAGGTAATGACGAGCAGATCCATGAAGGGGGATAAATGGGTTCTTTCCTTGTTAAGAAAACTAAATCAGCTCTGGTACTGGTTTCTGGATGATGTCCTACAGGCTGCAAAACCTTAGAGTGAGAAAAGTTGGATGATAAAGTTAATTATCATTAAAGCCAGACCAAATTCCTCCATTTTTACATTCATATTTTCATAAGAAAATCTATCCAGGAGTCTTGGGTATGCTCTGCATGGATTAAATTTTGCTCATCCACAGAGTGACTGAGCTTAAAAACACCATGGCTAAAACTATCACGTAAACTTTCCAAGGCAAGTGCCTATTTCTTTCCTTTGTTTATTTTAGTCTACAGCTAACAAGATCAATAATACCCTCAACAGTTGGCATTTGATGCGGTCATAAGAAACTGATAGGAATTTTCCTGTCTTTCCCTTTCCCTAGAAGGATTTATGAGAAGACAAAACAAAGGGCCTTCTCAAATTTTTTAACTTATTTCATGAATAATAGAAATAGCTACAACCTGGATCCCTCCCATCTCATCCTACTTCATACACCAAATGCACCACTTTTTGACAAATATTGACAATAGCATTTTCAGTTTTTCAAAGCCTTGTCCTCCCACCAGCCCAGCCTGCTGCAAACACACATTACCATCTTCTCACACTTCCTAGCAGCTCTGCTAATAACACTACCAAAGGCAGAGAGCTGTTTCATTTTACATGCTGTCTAGCCAAAGTCATGGCAGATGTCTCAGGGGTCTTATTAAGATGCTCACTTCATAGTTTCCTGCCATGATGAGTTTAGCAAACTTCCTTGATCCTGCAACATTACAGCGCTCTCCGATGTTAACAAAGTTGGTGTACTGTCCAATCCTGAAGGGTTCTAGACCTTAAAAGGAGAAGCATTTTGAAAAATTTCTGCAAAGGCATATGGATGACATAAGACAGACAGACATAAATGTATTCAATAAGAAAGAATTTCCTGCACCACAGCCCATCTGAGCAGATAGGAGATCCAGCATGGAAACAGGACCACAGTCATCTCTAGGGAGATTCTAATGCAGCAAAGGCTATTTGTTACAGCTACATTTACAACCAGAGCTCTCAAAAGAAAAAATATTTCAGAGTTTTATGTTGCAAATACCCTAAAGGGCCAAGTCGTACCATCTTTAAGAAAGAAGGAAAAGGCCGGGCGCGGTGGCTCAAGCCTGTAATCCCAGCACTTTGGGAGGCCGAGGCGGGTGGATCACGAGGTCAAGAGATCGAGACCATCC